GGTCAAAGACCAATAGCAAAAAGCTCAGTTTTCGACTGACATCACTCGCGCATGCACCTTTTAGGGCGAGGAATAAGCTCGTTTTTAGTTTTAGCGATGAGAGGCATTGCAAATGAATTTGGCGATCTTATTTCTTTGGCATAAGAAGCTTGGCTCCTAACTTTGCGTCCGGACTTTTTTCGTTCTTGCCGATCGGGTATCGTTTACGAAGCCGTTATCGCCTTGCTTTCGAAGCGCAGAGCGGCGCGTAGCGCCCCGGCCGGTTGGAGACCTTATCAAGATGGAGCGGACGCCGAACGAACGCCGGGCGTCAACTCCACTCGGCGTGACTGGGCGGGGGCAGAGCGGGGTGGGTGGGGTAGGGGGTCGGGGCGCGGTAGGACAGGGTGGGGCAGAGCAGGGCGGGCCGGGGTTGTTGGCGAGGTCACCGGGAGCGGCTGTGTGATAAGTGGGTCACTGCCTGCTGCATCAGATACAGACCCACCACCACCACCCGGTGCAGCAGTTTTTCATGGGGAGTTAGCTCAACTAGAGGACGTGGGCGACGTGGGCGTGTCGCAGCGGGGTGGAACAAGGGGCGCGACGAGCAGGACCACCAGCCGGAGAGCGGAATATAGTTTTACTCCGCTGAAGGCTAATGGAGATGGAGGCCTGAGGCAACTTGGAAAGGGAAAATGGTATCCGGACGGAAGTGTGTTGGTGGAGCAAAAGTAGAAGAAGGTTGCCGGGATGCATGAGGCGAAGGTTGTTTAACGCGATCCGCTGTTTACACTTCAGAAGAGGAGGGGGGACATACTTCTCTAAAATATGAATAATAAGGACAGGAAATTTTGAAATAAGAGAACAGACAAGCGCACGGAAGCGCAAAGTAAAGAGGTGAAGAGCACGTGCCCGTAAACCGGCAGTAATCACTACGCTCCTTCGTTTTCAGCATAAAACTTTACTCTCACATCACCACATTCTTATTAAACGCATCATTTTGCAGAAGAATTTTCCGAGAAATTTTCACCGTTACTACTTGATACGTAGGCATCTCTGATTAAAAGTGTAAGAGTGGAGCTGGTCCGGGCCCCCGTGAGGTAGACTGTTCCGCCGACGCGTCCTGCGCGGCGGGCTTGCCTACCCTCGGGATCGCAGGCTGACGCACCGTGTAAGCAAGCGTCTTCGGATCTTGCAGATCTCATACCCCTTGGGATCTCTCACCCGATCTATTCGCCTGACATTTCCATGCGGCAAAGTGACACATTTGAAGGGGTTCAAAATTAGAATGGTGACGCAAGAAGTGACGACGTGAAGTCGACTCATTATTTGACCGGTTCCGACGCTCCTTCGCATAGCCAACCGTTCCACCAGGAACAGCGCCGGATGCGATGTTGCCTAGAACGGGCCGGAAGCTGCCGGCGGAAGCTCTCCCACGCTGTTTGATAATAGAACTCGAGGTGCTGATAAGAACACGTCGTCTAGGCCAGTTTCTGACTTCAGTCCCTAAAATGACGGCCAACCGAGCAGTCTTCAGACAACCCCACGCTCCTTTTTTTCTTGGAGCAATGGCTTTATGAATGAGGGTAGTACAACAAGCTGACCACCGGCCACGATATTTCCGAGCAATCGTGCTCAGTGAGCTTTGCACGAACATTTCTTATCGGGAATGAAATAGGAAAATGTACACATACTTTGTTGTGGCGCTTACCCGTGCTATTCAACGCGCGGCAACCTGTTGGCTGAGCACGGGGGGTAAAGGGTCAGCGACACGCCTTATTACCCAGACCCAGACAGGGCGGGGCCGCACGGCGCGCGGACTGCTAAGAGCAGCAGTTATTGACCTAATTGCCACTCTACATTACCCGTAGGGTGACTCTGACTCTACAGCTCTACATCACATGGTTAGTCACCCCGCATTGGGGCGGCACGCTAAGAAAGCAGCACAGGTGTTTCGCAACTCAAATAATGAAGAAAGTATAACCAGTCTTAAAATTGTAAACAAATTCCATTTCACTTGTGAAGTGATCGGCGTAAGTAGGGCTGCGGTCCTGACCGAGAAGAAATCGGCGGTGTGGCGGGGACGAGAAAAATAAAGGAGGATAGATAGGTAAAGATGGGGGTGAGAAGAGAAAGAAAGGGAGTGAGAAGGTTGGAGGGAGGGAGTAGAAGAGAAGAGGGAGGGAGGGAGAGGGAGAGAGAGAGAAAGAGAGAGATGGTGGGTTAGACAGAGAGTGAGTGAGTGGGAGAACGAGAAAGCGAAAGAGAGAGCATGAGAGAGAGCATGAGAGTGAGAGAGAGCATGAGAGCGAGTGAGAGTGTGAGAGAGCGAGAGAGTGAGCGAGAACGAGAGAGAGAATGGAATGGCAAGCACGATTGTGGCTGTACTCATTACGGCCGCGTAGGGTTAATGCGAAAAGTTTTCGTCCAGAGGAAGAAGGACGGCAGAACGAAAAGGAGAAGAAAAGGAGAGGCGGGGTGGGAGGACAGGAACTAGACGGACAGCCGCAGGAGAACTTGTACGTGTCGGTGAGAAGGGAAGGAGAATTGAAATTGATGACGTCGTATTCGGGTCAGTGACGAAAGAATCATACGGAGCAGGCGGCAGTGCCTACAGATGATGCAACAAATTTAAATCAAAAAATTATAATGGAATGCAATCTTGGTGTTCACAACACAGTCGTTGTAGTAAAAGACCAGCAGAACTTTGCAAAAAAAAAGAAGGCAAATGCCAGGGCACAGAAAAAAAGTCTTTAACGTAACGGAGTCATTGCTGCTCGGAGACAGCAGAGGAAGGGTCTGCTCTCTCTGTCACTGTCGCCGACTAGAGAAGTTGTCGAATCAACTCGATTGGAACGAGTCCTTCACAACTAAACCCAAGCCCAGCACCAACACCTCTAAAAAAAAAACTCGTTTAATAGGATTTTACATCACACAAAAAAGTAAGGAAAAATAAAAGATAACAACCACGAGCCAAAAGCAGACTATATTTTTAAAAGTATTCCCAAGCCATCAACACATAAAAAAGTGTTATCTTTAAACGATAAATAAAAAAAGATTTGTCGCCACAGCCAAGAAGTTACTTGATTTGGTGACAGCCAGGCTGCAGCAGCCAAACGGTTTGTTCTGATGACTTAACACCCAAATAGTGCCAAAAGTAAACGGGTCCGCTATTACAACCACAGCTTGGCTGTAGCAGCCAACTCTTGGCTCTGACGACTAGTAGCTACCATAATGAATTAGTTGGCTGTAGTCAAGTTAAGTAAATTCTTAGCCAATACTTTTCTTCCCCGCGTGATTTAAGTTAACTCTCCGTATTTAATGCAGTACCTTTTGCACAGTCTGGAGAGGTTGAATTATTTAAAGAGTTAACATGAATCTAGAACATAATTTTCTGGGTGCAGATTCTTGCGGCGGGCGGGGCGCAGAGGATAAAGGAGGACATTGTATAAAGGATCCGGACACACATGCGGGAGAACAGGGCATGCCTGAATGGGCGCTCACGACGAAAAGGTAAGCACCGAGAAAGTGGCTTCCGATCGACTTCCGTTTGCTGTGAGCACAAGTCAACCTTTCCGTATCCGTGGGTAGATCGAATCAAAGCCGGAGCTGCGGCCCTTCTCTGCACACATGAGGCCGGGAGGGGTGGAGGGAAGCCGGGGGTAGGCGGTGTAGGCGCATACTGTAGGGGAAAAGCGCCTGGGTAGGCATACGCGCACGGCTTGGTCCCCTCCTGGCACCCGGGACCGGATCCGCTCTTGTCTGCGAGAGAGGACTGATGCGGGGCGGGCTGAGGGAACTCGACCCACCGCCGCACCAAATACTGATACTGCTGTTTCCTTCGTTGCCTCGGCTAAACCTCCGGGAATAGATATTTTCGGCGTCACTTTATAAGATGGAAACTATTCCCAGCGCGGGCGGTCTTTCTCCAAGTTGGTATTCCCCTAGGATTGTGCCCCCTTCTCCCCCAGCCCACCATGCTACACCATCGCACCACAAACCCAACTAACCCTCTCTCCCCTGGAAAGCAAAACGAAGAGTGAGGCAGGAGGGGGAGGGGTTGATTGGTCCATAGAGTGGGGCCCGGTGGGGCGAGCGGGGCTGGCTCCTCAGCGGCGCGGTGGCGGCCCGGGCGGAACTACGGCGAGGGATGTGGTGATGCTTACAGAGAAAGAGAGGGATCCCGTGCAAGCGCGTTATGTACTTATTTTTCTGCATCCACGGCGTTAGTTCGCGAGTCAGGGCGCGTCGGGGGGCGAACCGGAGGCGAAGCAGTGGGACAGGGGCCCACTCACGCCCTCTCAATGAGATACAACGCGAGGGCAGGAGGAGGGTTGTCAGCCGGCCGCCGCTAGCTGCAGCCCGGTGCGCACTGTTGGCGAGGCGAAAAATTGTCGAGACAAAACTTGAGAATGGTTAAGAGAACAGGGCGAGAAGTTTGCCGTTCGTAATGAGCTGGGGCGGACTGGGGCTTTACGACCCCTG